ATTTTAAATGTATTAAACAGTTAAAAAAATGTTATAATTTAGATGTTGATTTAAAATATAATCGAGATTAATAAAACCAAATATTTTAATACGTTTATATATTATTACACTAAACTTTAAAGTTTATTTAGATTTTAAAATTATAAATACTAACTTATTAGTAAAAAAAATAAACATATACTAATTTTGCATCAAATATTTATATTCAATTTTACTTAAACTAAATTTTTATTCACTAAAATAAACTATAATACTCCTTGATAATAATTTAATATATAAGCTTACTTGTCCGGGATGACATCTAGTGAATTTAATATTTTTCAAAATTAAATTTTAAATATACAAAATATTCATAAAAAATTGTTATAATATAGTGTTGATTTAAAGTATAATAGAGTCATAAAATATATATTTAAACAAAACTTTTAAAGTATAATAGAGTCATAAAATATATATTTAAATTTATTTAAACAAAACTTTTACTAAAATTTTATACTAGCATTTTTACCTAGTGCACATGCTCATCCACCCAAAGAATTAACCAAAAAATAAGACACGTGTTTGTTAATATATAAATCTTTGGAAGAAAGAAAACAATCATTAAAAGATAAACATTTAAAAGGTGTTTTTTTTTGTTACTGAAATTTTTAGTTGACTATAAATAAGCATTTGAAAAATTGAGTTCAGAATCCTACCTAATCAAACCTAAATTAAATTTGAATATGTTATTAATTGAGTAGAAATCAAAATTGGGAATGACAATTTTCTTCTGCGTGATTATACTTTTCCCAATTTCTATTTCATCTGGTCTGGGAAGGTTGATAAAGCTAAGATGGTCAATCTGCCTTGGAAGAAGGCGTGCATTCTTATCTTGCAAGGTGGATATGGGCTGAGATCTCTGCTTGTGTTTAATGAGGCCTCTAACTTGAAATTTTGTTGAAATGTGTTGAATTCTCAAGAAGATTGGCTTTGTTGTTGAAAGGTGTTGAATTCTCAAGAAGATTGGCTTTGTTGTTGAAAGGGAGGGCTATTAAGAAGAGAATTTCTTTCTCTCTCACAGTAAAAAGAAAATTTTTACGTAATTCTAAAATGCTCTTTAGAAATCGGAAATATATTTATGATACGTTCCATGTACCACACACAAACAAATTCAATGTAGATTCATCTTATTCAAAAGACAAAAATAGATCTGGAAATGCAAGTCTGAGTACAAACTAGAAATTAAATTTCGATTTCAGCCTACATTTTATCAAATCTTGGTGTGTCCCGAAAATGTATTTCTGGTTTTCAGAGTGTATTTTTATAACTTTCATGGTGAGTTAGAAAACTATAGGATGAAAAAAGAAATCCTCATTAAGAATGGTGTACCTAATAGATATCTTTTTTACTCCTCAATTTGGAGCAGTATTAAGAATGAGTATTCCAACATTATTTCAAATTCTACAACTCTCATTGGTAATGGTTCAAACACAAAGTTTTGGCTTAATTTCTGGTGTGGGCCTCATCTAATTGAGAATATTCATCATTCTAATCATATCAATCTTAATTCTTGTGTGCCCGACTTTCTCATTGATGACACTTGGCACTTTTCCGAATCTATCCTTAACATGGTCCCAAATTTGCTTCAACTTGCTAATCAAGTTACCATTCCTTTGGACCGCATTGATGATTGTAGGGTATGGAATCACAACATTGCAGGAAATTCATCTATGAAAGATGCTTTTGAGTTTAAAGCTTATAACAACTAACCTTATTTGGGCTAAGCATATATGGAATTCAAATATTCCTTCTTCCAAGACTTTCACTATTTGGAGGCTTTGCTGCAACAAAATGTTAACTTATGATAATCTTAGAGTGAGAGGCTATTGCATCCCTTCTATGTGCAACTTGTGCAAATTGGATTAGGAAACTTCATATCATATTTTCTTTCAATTTTGCTTTGCTTTAAGGCTCCATCATTGGTTCTTCTCCTTAGTTAGTACGAATGTGCATTGCAATTCCATTTATGATATCCTGAATCTTTGTGATCATAGTTGGAGTTCTCAACGTAAGGTAATGCTCTAAGTATTAGTCTTTATTATCGATCTGGCATAGAAGGAATCAGGCTCGTTTCAGTAATCATATTATGCATTGGAAAAAAGCTTTAAACTTGATTGCAATCGAAGTCTCTCAGATTGCTAATCACTCTAAAAAAGGTCTCCAAATCATCCATTTAATATTTCACCTTCATTAAGAAGTTCAATATCACCATTCATCATCCTCTGGCTCTTAAGCTCATTGAGATCATTTGGCTAAGGGTGAAAAAACGGGTCTGATCCGACAGGCATGTTTGTTTTGTCTGTATTTTTTTTTGTGACAGACCAAGATTTTAGGTCAACACTTCTAATATGTCGGCCGCATTTTTTATTTTGAAGACTTTTGTCGATGCGGACATTAATATATATATTTTTATATTTTTAGACTAAAAAGGTACAGTGTCTGCGAGCTCGCCTTGTTCGTCTTTTTTTTTTGCGGGACAAAGTAAAATTTTAGGCTCGCGCTCTCAACAATATCTGCCCCATTTTCTTGCGGACTTTTGTAGGAATGGTCTAAACGGAGCGGATATGCCCGTTTGTCACCCCTAAATTTGACATCCTCCCTCTGAGAGTTGAATCAAATGTAACATTAATGGTTCTTTCTTTAGAAATTTGACTGCTCGTGGAGGTATTTTTTAAGATTCTAATGGAAATTATGTCCACTGTTTTGTCGAGAACTTGATAAACATCTCTTCTTTTTAGGTTGAGCTTTAGGGTGTGATCAAAACTATCGAAACGACTAGTTTAGATAGTTTAAAGAAATTATGACCAAAAACATACTCTACTTTTACCTTCAATAACACAAATTTGATTCCTTAGAAGTTTAGAAATATGTGGTTAAACTCAAGTTATATTGAGTACAATGTCATTTTTTATTACTCACATTTTTTCGAATAAAACAAACCCGCTTTAATAAATTTAAATACTCAAAATCCCTTGATTTGAAATGATATTTGAATATTTCCACTTTCCTTTTTACTTTGGTGATACATGACAAGCTTGGTATATCAAATTTTAAATCTCTCCTTGTTGAGTGGGTTTGGTGTATAGCTCCCCACTTTTTCTTTTTTTTTTTACCTTTTCCTTCATAATTACTCTCTTAATTAAAAAAAAAATCTCACTTAAATTGCTCCGTATATATCATACAAACTATATATTATACAAACTTAAATTATTATTAATTTATTATAGTAAAAAATACAATTAATATAAAAAAAACTATACTATTACAATTAAAATTATTTTTAACTATAAAATAATAACTCAATAAAAACTTAACCATCACGTGGATGGAAATCTATTAATATAATATTTTTGAAATTAAATTTTAAATTTATTAAACATTAAAAAAAGAAAATAAAGATAAATGTATTGACAATATAAAATAGTTTTACACTGTTAAGTAATAAAAATTCACCAATCAATTATGTCACACAATTAACTTAAAAATATGAGAGTGATTTGATAGAATACATAATGATAATTAATTGATAGTGTAAAATTAATTTACACTATAAGTATATATTTTTTTATTTTTTTATTTTTTTAAATTAGTTATGATTTAGATGTTGATTTAAAATATAATAGATTTATAAAACCAAATATTTTAATATGGTTACATAGTACCACTAATTGAATTAACCAAAAAAAAAGAAGACAATTGTTTGTTATTATAAAGAGAAAATAGGTGATGTGCTGATCGTGTAAATTAATTTTATATTTTCAACCAATTATGATTATGTATAAGGACACATCATTCTTTTATTTTTAAATTTTTTTAATAACATGACAAACTGTTAATTTATTGTAAAATTATTTTGCACTGTCAATGCATATCCATTAAACCTTATTATAAATAATCCATTTATTTCACATTGATTATTGTTTTAACAAATAAAATTTGTTTCAAATTGATTGTTATTGTTAGAATTAATTATGATTGCAGATACTCTAGAGTCATTAATAGTATTCCTAGACTAAACAACTTCTTAGGTTAGTGCTTATTCATTAACTAGGTTAGTGCTTATCCATTAAACTTTAACCTATTTATTGTAACACTAGTATAAATACTGCGATCTACCTTAAAACACACAAAATTTATAAAATTCTATATGGTATCAGTAGTGGTTCATCCTAGGGTTGTTCTACATTTTTCTTCTGAAATTTATCCTCAGTCCAGCCACTTTATACACAACTTTTAGTTGTGCTATAACCAGCTCTGCTATTTCCAATTCAACCTACCCCTGTGAAATCTTCTAGCGAGCACAACAATTTTTTTTCTACTGATGTATTCCACCATATTGCTGCTATATTCTACATCTACTATTGCTGCTGTATTCCACCCTACACGCTGCTATAATAACCTGCTTCCAACACCGACCACCACAAAACCCCCTCAGTCACATTCCAAGGTGTTTTCATCATTTTATTTTGGTGATTTTCATCCATTTTTTCTTCTTTAATCACTCGTAGATCGTCATGTCTGGGACCTGATCTGCTGCCTCCTATTCTTTCGCTTTCAGTTTCACTACGCTCCCTTTAACTCCTAGTGAAAAATTGGCCGATAATGCTAATTATGCAGGTTGGGCTGCTGCCGTTGAACTTTGGTTTGAAGGACAAAGTCATGAGGATCATTTGCTCAAAAACCACAAGGATATCCAAGCCAAGGATCAAGCAAATTGGAAACAGGTTGATGCCTCTCTCTGTAGTGTTCTTTGGTATTTTATCGATGTCAAACTTCAATCTCAATTTCGTTCTTTTAAGACATGTTATGGCGTTTGGGCAAAGGCGAAAAAGACCTATTCTAATGATGTCAATCATTTGTATAAAGTTGTCTCTAATCTCATTTCCATGAAGAAATAAGACATGGATATGCAAAGCTATATAGGGAAACTTGATAGTTTGATTGCTGATTTTGACGCGGTTATGCCATTTACAGACAATGTCGACAAACATGCTGAACAACGTGGAAAATTCTTTATGGTTCTAGCACTTGCCAGTCTTACATCAGACCTTGACTCAATTCCAAACCAAATTTTGTCTAGTGCAAATGTCCTCTCATATGACACTGTTTGTGAGCAACTACTGCGTCTCCCTGCTTCTTCTACTACTCCAACACCAGTTTCTCTCACTGAGAAAAGTGACTCTACGACCCTCATCTCTAATTCTTATCAACAATGTGGTAGAGGAGGAGGACGTGGAAATAATAGGACTCGGCCTCGTTGTAGCTATTGCAACCATTTTGGCCATGTTAAGGCCCAGTGCCAAACGAAAGCTAATCAAGTGCTGCCAAAAGTTGCTAATGTTACTCAAACTGAAGCCTTTGACACAAGTGCTCAAATCTCCCTTTCAACCACTGAGTATAATGAGTACCTACAGCTGAAGGCACAAAAGAAAACTTCAACACCTGTTGTCTCTGCTGTTCAGACTGGTAATCCTATTGCCTTTCTTACAAAGTCTTCTTCACTTGGACCTTGGATCCTTGACTCAGGCGCCACTGATCATATTTATGGTAACTAATTGCTTTTCTCGTATTTGACTTATATGGATAAACTCCCGAGTATTACTTTGGCTAATGGATCATAAACCAAATGTCAAGGCATTGTCCAAAGAAATAACATACCCACATTTTCCTTAGACTTTGTGCTTTATGTCCCTGATTGTCCATTTAATTTAATCTCCATTAGTAAACTTACTCGCACCTTACCTTACTCTGTTACATTTTCTAATGGTTGTGTTCTTGTGCATGATCAGAGTACTGGGACGACAATTGGAGTAGGGCATGAGTCTCAAGGTCTATACTACCTTCCAGCACCAACAACACCTATTTCTTGTTCAACCGTCGAGTCTTTGCATGTTATTCATCAAATTTTGGGACATCCTAGTCTTTAAAAGTTTCATCTAATGGTTCCAAGTCTATCAAAAGTGTCTACCTTAGAGTGTGAGTCGTGTCAGTTTGGAAAACATACTAGGAGTTTCTTTCCCGACAGAGTCAATAAAAGAGCTACGTCTCCTTTTTGCTTTAGTTCATTCTGATATTTGTGGTCCTAGTCATGTTATTACACGTCTGGGTTATCAATATTTTGTAACTTTTATTAATGACCTTTCTAGATGCACTTGGATATTTTTAATGAAAAAACGTTCAGATGTGTTCTCAATCTTTCAAACTTTCTGCTCAGAAAAAAATACACAATTTGGTACCCACATTAAAATTTTGCAAAGTGAAACGCTCATGAATATTTGTATATCTATTTTCAATCCTTTTTGGCTTCACTGGTAATTCTCCATTAGACCTCATGTGCTCGTACTCCTCAACAAAATGGTGTTGTTGAGAGAAAGAATCGATACTTAGTTGAAACAACTCATACCATGCTCTTTCACAATAATGTACCCCCTCCTTTTTGGGGATATGTGATCCTTACAACTTGCTACTTAATAAATCACATGCCTTCCTCAGTACTCAACAACCAGGTACCACATTCTCTTTTGTTCCCCCAACAATATCTTTATTCTCTACCATTTCGTGTCTTCGGATGCACATGTTTTGTTCATGACCTTACTCCAGGTAAAGATAAACTTGCTGTAAAATCCATCAAGTGTCTTTTCCTCGATATTCTCATCTGCAGAAAGGCTATCGATGTTATTCCCCAAATCTTTGTCGATATATTATCTCTGCTAATGTTAGCTTCTTCGAGACTCGTCCTTTCTTCCCTTCTACACTTGAAGAGCCCAATAATTATGGTCAATCACAATCCTTCTCTCCAGAGGTCTTAACTTTCCCTATTGCACTGACATCTGTCTTTATCCCTGCACCCGTCTCTATACCCACACCCACTCTTCACACCTATCAACAGAGGCCACGTCAACCACCTGTTCCTTAAGACTCTTACACTACTCTGACGGATTCTCAACCTTCACATCCTACACAAGAACTACCCATTGCTCTACATAAAGGTAACAAGTCATCTTGAAATCCTAATCTTGTTTATGCTTGTCATTTGGATTATCATCGATTATCTACATCCTATTATGCTTTTGTGGTTTCCTTGGATTCAGTGTCTATTCCCAAAACTACAGGTGAAGCTATGTCTCACCTTGGATGGCGACAGACGATGATCAATGAGATGTATGCTTTACACTCCAATGATACTTGGGATTTGGTTGTCCTACCTGATGGAAAAACTACAGTGGGTTGCCGATGGGTCTATACAGTTAAAATTAGGCCTGATGGAAAGATTGACCGTCTAAAAGCTCGTCTCATAGAGAAAGGATACACACAGATCTTTGGCCTTGACTATGAAGACACATTCTCTCCAGTTGCCAAGATCACATATGTTCGTCTTTTTCTTGCCTTAGCTTATATTCATCAGTGGTCGCTCCATCAACTAGACATCAAAAGTGCCTTTCTACATGGTGAATTACAGGATGAGGTGTACATGGCTCAACCACCATGATTCACTGTTAGTGGTGCTTCTCACCTCGTCTGTCGGCTTCGTTGATCTCTTTATGGCTTAAAGCAATCTCCCCGTGCTTAGTTTGGGAGGTTTAGCATTGTGCTCCAAGAGTATGGAATGAGTAAATGTGAAACTGTTTACTTTGTCTTCTCTTTGCATTCTTCCCCAACCACTTCTCTCTACTTGTTGGTCTATGTCGATGACATCATCATCATTGGTAATGATAAGCATTCAGCGGTTAAAATAATATTTGTCTTTACACTTCCAAACTAAAGATTTGGGACCACTAAAATATTTTTAGGGGATTAAAGTTGCTCAATCCAAGAGTGGTGTGGCTATTACGCAACGAAAATATGCTCTCGATATACTTGAGGAAACTGGCTTGCTTAATTTCCGACCTAGTGACACTCCTATGGATCCTAATGTTAAGCTAATACCAGGTCAAGGGGAGCCATTAAAAGATCCTGATAGATATCGTCGTCTAGTTGGAAAACTTAATTACCTCACAGTGACCAGACTAGACATTACATTTGTTGTTAGTGTGGTTAACCAATTTCTAAATGCTCCATGCGATGACCATTGGACGTTGTGATTCACATTCTTAAGTATATAAAGAGTGCGCGAGTAAAGGATTACTTTATGAAAACAAGGGTAACACCCAAGTCGTGGGTTATTCTAATGCTGATTGGGCAGAATCACCGTCTGATAGAAGGTCCACTTTAGGGTATTGTATTCTTATTGGAGGAAATTTGATTTCATGGCAGAGCAAGAAACAAAGCATAGTTGCAAGGTCTAGTGCAGAAGCAGAATATCGTGATATGGCAGCAACCACATGTGAACTCACGTGGCTAAAACAATTACTCCAACCACTCAAATTAGGAGACATCAAGGCAATGAAATTAATTCGTGACAATCAAGCTGCACTTAATATCGCCTCCAATCCAGTTTTTCATGAAATAACTAAGCACATAGAGATTGACTGCCACTTTGTAAGAGATAAGGTTCTTTCAGGAGAAATCATAATTGACTGACATATTTACTAAATCCCTTAAAGGACCTCGAGTTCAATCTATTTGTAACAAGCTTGGTGCATATAACATGTATGCTTCGGCTTGAGGAGGAGTGTTAGAATTAATTATGATTGTAGATATTCTAGAGTGATAGATAGTATTCTTAGACCAAACAACTTCCTAAATTAGTGTTTATTCATTAATTAGGTTAGTGCTTATCCATTAAACTTTAATGTATTTAATGTAATACTAGTATAAATACAAGTAGTGTACCAAACTTACATAATCTTTGGAGAATAAAAACAACAATTAAAAGATAAACATTTAATAGGTGATTTGTTTGTTACTGAAATTTTTGGTGGATTCTAAATAAGCAATTGAAAAACTGGGTTGAGAATCTAACCTAATCAAACCCTAATTTCAATTTGAATTTGTTACTAATTGAGTAATGACAATTCTGTTCACCGTGATTATACTTTTCCCAATTTCTTTCGTTTTTCAATCTCTTGTTCGGTCCAACAATTAGAAACAACAATGGTGGATCATCAGGAATTGGCAAGGGTAGTTATCAGCGATAAGAAAGACGAATATTTTGTATTTCCCCCAATTAATCACGAGAATCTGAATCTCTTAACAATTCAGCAAACCCCATCTTCCTCTGATTGTGACAAGTGGGGTCAATATTCTTCTCTCTCCCCACCGCTCGATTCTAGCCTCCGGAAAGGTGGGTGGATGAGCATTGGCTTCCAGATCTTGCGTTCCAAGTTCTTTTCCGCGGTTTCCTCTATTCGGAACCCTGGAGGGGCAATTCGGTCATATGGGTTACCAGCGGCCATGGTGGTTATCATAGTCCTGATGTTGATGAAGAGGAAGGAGAGTAGGAGGGACCTCACACCCAATCAGTCCCGTCTTCTGCAAATCATTCTGGAGAAAGATGGGGTTCGTTCTAATTCTATTTCTTTTCTTTTTTGCATTTTCTTTTTCATTACAATTTCAGCATTTTTATGCATTTATGCTATGTTACATTACATATCTATATTATGCAGTTGGCTAGTATACGATGGTTTAAATTTCTATGGTTCTTCCTTAAGATAAAGTTATACATGTTTATAGATACTAAACTTAGTAACTTTAACTAATGCAACGAGCTACTTGTTTCAAAAATTATACTTGTTTCAAGACTCTATTAATACTTCTTATTATATAAGTGTTTCTTGAAAAGTTCATCAAAGCTGGCTCATAATCAGAGTGGTGAATCGCGGATAGAGGCACAAAGCGGCCAACCCCCAAAATGGGATAGTGGGTAGTGTATAGCCGGATGGCCGCTATTTGATCATTTTTTGGACAAATTACATGAATAATAATTATTAACATATGAATAATAATTATAAACCTATGAAGTGAGAGAGGGGAGGGAGGAACTTGTGATTTTTCTTTGGAACGGGTGCAGTGCATAAATGTCGGTGAAGGAAGGTTAGGATTGAGTCTTAACTCAAATTAGATTGAAAAATCCAAAACTACCCTTAAGATGTTTTAACTTTAAGGGATAATTTTGGTTTTCTAGAGGGGAAAGAATAGCGGGACAAAACCCGCTCCAGGCTAAGAACCGCTTCCCACTACCTGCTTTTTACCCTATAGCAGCCACTATAGTGTTTTGCACCGCTAAGACACTTCCCATAGTGGCCGGCCTCCGCTCTGCTCTGCTATAGCGTGATAGTGCCGCTATTGGCCGCTACTGACTACTTTGCTCATGATAACCTAGCATTGTTTAATATATTTTTTTTATTCTGCTCGGCTACATTCTTCTCAAGATTGGGTCCATAGTTTACATGTTTCGTGGTGTGCACAAATAGAAGATCCAATTATTTGATCACGTTTGTATGTCTTAGTTTCTATTAGTTCATTGACCTCTACAAATACAATTATGTTTGTCTTTGTCTGCTTTCTGTTTATTCATTCACTCACTTGAAGCCCTTTTTTTTTGGAGTTTCTTGACTGTCCTCTATTTCTCTGGTGTTTGTTTGCTGATTATGATTGTTTTATTTACAGAAAATTGCCCAACTTTTGCACCAGATTGCACAAATGAATGAAATACTCATAGATAGTCACAAAGCTTTGGCTGGAAAAGTGGTTAAATGATTGGCTAAGGTTTAAGAACATGATAGCTATTGTAAAGCACATTCGTGAAGGGCTTTTCTTCTTTACACTTTGAATTACCACTACTTACAGTTGTACTTGCAATTTGTTTGGTTCTACAGGTGTTAGTTAGGGATGTAAATTGACTAAAAAGAACTAGTTGTGGTTCTCGGTGTATATTCTCTGCGACAGAAGAGTGGATCAAATATGAACTAAGAAGTGTTTTCATCTCAAAACATATTCAAAGATAATGGCAGGTGAATGAATTGCAAACCTGGGGTTTTTATCATTAATACCGAAAAACTAACCGTCCTCAAGCTGGCATGATTTGTGAATGATCGATCCTTTCGGTGGCAGACCATGGAATTTAGGTAGGGAAGCTAGTAGAGCACACTCTTAAGTCTAATTGTACTAATTGTTAGGCAGATTCTCCTTGCTCCAATATTTAGCACTTGTTTCATTTGTAAAAACTCTTCATATCAAATTGATGACTCCAGCATTATTGTTTAACTTTGAAAGTCTAAAACTTTGTTTTCTTGAACAAAAGTTTATTTTTGTTGCTTTTAGCTTCTTTCTTTTAAAATAAAAGAGGCTCTGTCTTATTTTATTTTCATGAAATTCTTGAGCATATAATGTTAGGTTTGATTTGAGATTCATGTGTATGAAAAAAATTATGCAGAAAAGTTTGTCTGATATTATCTACTTATGTAATGTTGAAGAAATACTTCCTTAAAAATAAAGAAACAATGACATTTTTCAAAAAAAGTGTCTAACAAATCATTTGATTTTAAAACCTAAACTAAATTATAAAGAGATTAAAAATAACAGTGCTTAGTAACTCATATCAAACTATAATTGTGGTCATTGCTTAAAAAATCAGACTGGCTTATTAAACAGGTTGAAGCAAGTACAGATTATGTGTCAGACTGGCTTACTAAACAGGTTGAAGCAAGTACAGATTATGTATTCAAATTAGTGAAAATAGGTCGAACCGGTTCAAATGATAATTAAACAGAAACCAGTTGTTACTTCATGTATCAAATTCAAAAAACTTCAAGAGGGAATGTAAGTATATTAAGTTGAATTCATACCCCAAAAGAGAAAATTCAGTAGGAGTTCAGTATACAGCAGCAGATCAGCAAGCAATTTTTGTTTGCTGATATCTCAAACACAGCAGAAAAAAGATAACTTATGAAAGAATTCTATCCTAACATTTCAGAAAATTAACAAGGCAACAAAACAAACAGAAGTTACATGTGTCACAATAAAATTCCACTTCTAATCAATCATTGTCTATAATAATCACCAATTAAACTAGTTATTTCTCACTAGCTTTTTGATTCACTCTTCTCTGTAGGATGCCTTCGAATATCAAACTGGTCGACAAACTCCAAAGGAGTAACCGACTCATTCCTGATTCTCTTAATCTTAGGACTCAACAGACCACTATGCCTGAACCCATATAGTTTGAGCACCTGATTATCCGCAAAATTGTAAGCCCTCTCCATACTGCTAAGACACCTCTCAACAGGATAATCTCCATAGCTTCCACACGGCTTACAACCCACGAAATGCGTCACAAACGGCCACCTCTCATCTCCTAATCCCGGATGATACTTCTCAATCATCTCTTCATATCGATCAACCAACCCAGCCCAGTAACCGTGCAAATAGTAAGAATTCTCAAGAAACACCTTATCCATCCACTTTTTCTTCTGCGACAGCAACAAATATATCAATGCAGACTGATCATCCGCCTCAAAAGCCGGCCTTCCCTTAAGATTAGCAGTCAAAACCTTCCCGGCCTCTTCACGAACCGGACCCTTTGGACCCATGGGAGCCCACTCATCAAGCAAATCCAAAGACCACTGACAATTCCTAAACAGAAAACTCCCAGTATTGATAGCAATCCACGACTTTTGGTCGAACAACAAATCAGGGTAACCATGAATCACCATATTATAGTCATCATACTTGAACAAAGGAAGCTGAAAAACCATATCAGTGAAAAAAGCATCACTATCCATCCACCAAATCCACTCAACCTCAGGATGCGACAACATCAACCTCCTAATCATAGGCAATTTAGCCCAATAACCAGCAAGCTCCATATCAAGATGAGCCATATTATAAACAATTTCAATCCCATGTAATCTACAATAATCAATCTTATTCTTAATAGACTTCAACAAATAATGATCCCCAATAGGATTGTCACAAGGCTTAGGAGGAGACCCAGTGAGAAGCAAGATTCGAGCTTTACCTCTAACAAAACTAGGGTATTCAGGGTTTTGATTAAGCCAAACCTTACGCTGAGAATCCCAATCATTGATTTTGGGGCCAAGTGTGAAAGTGGCGTTTGGATTGAAAAAGGTTTCCTCTTTGTTGTCAGGATCAGAAGGGTCAGCGTCGGATCGGATCTCGGCGAGGATGCGGTTGGTTTCTTCGATGACGCTTTGGTTGACGGCGTCGGAGTCGGAAGAACCGAAGTTAACACCGATGGTGCCACGTAGGACGAGGATGGTGACAAAACCACAGAGGATAGTGATTTTAACGTTGTTGAATGTTTTGGAACGGTTGCGGCGGTTTTTGTCGTTGGAATAGGTAGTTGGTAAAGCTCCGTTACTGGTTCTCTTATGAACTGATGAACCATTCTCTCTCCCCATTTTTTGTTCTCTCTATCTGAGTGGAAAAAACACAACACAAGACAACAAATCTGGTTTATCGGATTAGAAAGGAAAAAGATGAAGACAAGAGTTTTCTAGTTCGTAGATGGTAGGTGGGTTTAGGAAGGAACTAAAAACCATGTTCTAATAGAAAACAAATCATCTTCTTTTTGTTTTCTTTTAATAATCTTGTTAATACTGCCATGTCAACATTAGTTTAGTTTAGTTTAGTTTTATACTTTTTTCTTTTTCTTCCTCTTTTTGACACCTTTTAACTTCATCTACTACTTCATACTATACCACCTAATACGCGTATCAAATCAGATTTATTTTTTATTTGTTTTATTACGTGTTTTTACATTTTTATTTTATTATTTGTCTTTAAATCGGTTACCATTTCAGAATAACTTATATGCTTAAAAATATATATTAAATCATTTTAAAACTAAAACTTTAAGGACTTGATTATTTGACTTTCAAAATATTGCTCCTCATTGTTTTTTATTTTTTTCTTCTCATTGTTTTTCACTTTTTCTTCTCATTTATTTATTTAACGTGTGTGTGAATATTTAATGAAAATTTTGATTTTAAATGAATTAATTAAATAAAATTGAAGATAAAATAATGTGTTTGGATAAAGAAAATTAAAATGAATTGAATAGTAATTTTCATAAAAATATCATGTTTAAAATAAAAACTTATAAATATTAACTTTTTATAATAGAACAAATTTAAAAAGCATAATATATTTTATTTGATAATTATCAAACATATTAAAATCAATTCTATATATCTAAAATCAATTTTAGGTGCTTTAAACATGAAATCAAAGATTCTTTTAATATGATTTTTCTTTTGTTTGTAAAATTTCACATTTGTTAATGTTTTTTTACAAAAATACTCTTTATTCCTTATTGGGCTCAAAACTAATACACCCCCTTAATACATCTATTCCTTTAAAACAAGCCCACATCAAATAATATTATACTTCTAATATTATTTCACCACTTAATAAAATACTTAAATCCAATTAAACACAACACATCTTCTCAAATATTCCAAAAATAATTTAATTAAATAATTAATTAAATTACGGGCGTTACACTCTTCATATGCGTAGAACAACCAGAATCCACGTATTATTCTTCACTTCACTAGACTCCTCCTCTCACAATCACCATAATGTTTTCTTCTAGCGCTCCTAAAGTTGTTGTTGTTGCTGCCCTGCAGCATACTACTGCAACATTCACCTTTCGTGATCATGACCAAGAGTGTATTCTCATCATCCACCTATTTTCTAGCAACCTTGGCTTCATCTCCTTCAGATTTCCTCTATTTCACGTTGCATTATCTTGCGAAATGGCCAAACATTTGACAATTGAAGCATTGTGCTTTACTTATGCCGAACTTTCCTTTTCCGCCTCTAAAGTTGCATTGACCACCATTTTTATTGTAGCTGCTCTCACCCTTTTGACAATTTGAACTCTTTGAACTTTGGGACTCTTTTCCACCGAAATTCTAAAAATTCCCTTTACTCTTCATGGGCCATTTTCCTTTCAACTTTTTGTTCTTCTCATTGAATCGAGCTTACAAAGTGATCTCTGCCTTTGCCTTATCATTATTTCTCTCCTCCATCCTTTGCTCACGAGCCTCAAGAGAGCTTTGAAGCTCATCTTTGCTCAATATCGAAAGATCCTTTTAATATTTAATCTCCACTATATTATTGCCAAATCTTTCCATCAAAGAACACAACATATTTGACACAACATTCTGCTCAGAAACAGTCTCTCTGCAAGACTTAATTTGGTTCACCAACCGCGTAATTTGCGTCACGTAATTGTTAATTGTCTACTTTTCCTCCTTTTGAATCAATTCAAATTGACTTTTGTGAGTTTGTAACCTCACCACCTTTGCCTTACCAACCCCTGCATATGTCTTTTCTAAGATTTCCCATGCTTCCTTTGTCGACTCACAATCACCAACTTTATCAAAGTTGTCACCATCCACACATTGATGATCAATAACAGCACTTTATAATATTTCTTCTTTTCTTCCTTGTATGTATCCTTTTATGTTGTAAAAGCAAGCTTCTCAAATGCACTTTTATTTTGATGAAGACAAACCATGATTGACAAAGAAGACAAAGATTTTTGACTCAGCTAAAAGCATTTGTGAATAAAGTCTTCAGTTCAAGCACTTAGCAAAATTTCAAGGTATAATGATAATACTTACTTTGAACTTAAGACATAGATGCTCAATGGTAAAAAGAAACATTTTATATTGTCCAAACCTTTACTCAAGTTTTTCTAAGCTAAAAATCATTTTTTACTTGAGTGT